CCAAAGGGGCTGGGCTGGGAAGCTGGGAGGCTCACAGGTTTTGTGACCTTGGAATGGAGCTGAGGAAAGGAAACCAGCATGTCCCCGAGTCCCTGGCTCAGCTCCGTTTGTTTTGACAGGTGTTAAGGGCAAGAGGAAAAAGCTGAGCCCTTTGTTGCACTGCCTGGATGCATCTGTGCAGCTGAGGGTCCCTCTCCGCCTTGTTTATCCCCCACTTCCCAGTGACCTCTACTGGCAGCATTGCATGCCTCATGAGCAGCTCCAAGAGCCTGGTCTAGCTAGGAATGAGGCACCTCTCACTGAGACAGGAGTGAACCTCAGAGCAACTGCAGTGAATAGGAGAGAACCATCGAGTCCCACTCAGCACAGTCCCAGGCCCATCTGTGGGGCTCATAGCATAGGGAAGTGTATCATCTCCAGGTCAGAAATGGGGAAACTGAGGCACATAATGGGGACATGATTTGTCAGTGAAAAAACTGGGGACAGAATCCAGGTGTCCTGGCTCCCAGCCCTGTGTTCTATCCACTAAACCATGTTGGTATGGGCACCCTAGCACTGAACTGCCCCTTGTTACAGGTGCTGCCTGACTCCGTGATATGGCCACCATGACAGGGGTCGGGCCTGACTGTAGTCAGCCTTAGGAGCCAATGGGGAGAACTGTCCCCTGGGCTCTGGAGCGACGCTCTTATAAAACCCAGGCCGGCTGGCACTAAATCCCCCAGACAGGGGGCATGGCGGGAACACAACCGCCCAGGGTAACGCTGGGAGTCTGCAATTGGGACACCCGTCAGCCGGTGACAGCTCACACACATGGGCAGTGTTGCTATGCTACACCCTGCCTTAGCCTCACCTGTGCCGCCAACCGGACTGTTAACTGCCTGGTCAGTGATGCTGACCGGAGCTGCCAGGGCTCCTTTCGACCTGGCATTCCGGTCCAAAACCAGACACCTGGCAACCTTAGTCTCCCCCCTCCCTTCTGCCTGGGAGGGAGTTGCCTGCAGAGCTGGGGCTGGGAGCTCCAGTTGCCCAATGCAAGTAGGAAGCAGCCCTGGCTGAGTAGGGGCTGGCCTGGGCAATGACCCAGCACCTCCCATCAACCCGCATTTACCGGACTTTGGAAAAAGTTTCCCTTCACGAGCGGACTTGTAAACCGGGCACCTGGCCACTTCTCCATTTTACAGAAGGGGAAACTGGGCACAGAGTGGGAAAAGCAACTTACCCAGGTCAGAGCCAAGCTCCCCTGAATCCCAGTGCAGTGCTCTGTCCACTGGGTCGCCCTGCAGCATTGACCTTGCAGCACTCCCTTGTGGGCTATAAAGAAGACACGCAGCCTTCTCTAATCCAGACACTAGCAACAGAGGCGCGAGCCAAGTGCTCGGGACTTGACCAAGGCCTGGCTGCTTAGCCTAACTGAGTTATTCCTGGTTTGCCACTAGTGCCTTGTCCTTTTTAATTCAGCCATCGCAGGGTTAAATCCTCTCACAGTCGGGGGCAGGAAGCAAGCAGGGGAGCTCAGCTCCAGCCTCCCCAGCTGTGGAAACTCAGCATCAGTTCCTTGTGGCTGGCCAAAACCCAAAGAGGCCTTTCCTTTCCAGGGATGTTAGCCGGCAGCAAGCTGCCACGCCATGTACTTCAGAGCCATGAAGGATGAACCCCGCCCCCTGCCGGCTCAGTCCTCAGGACATTGCTGCACGCAGGCCTCGCACCTCCCTGTCACAAGTTGTTCCCCACACACCCCACTTCTTCAACAGCAGCTGGGCTGGCCCTGGTCCTGCCCCTTGTGCAGGGGCTGGAACAGGGATTTCCCTACAAACCCTCTAGGGAGGTGTACACCCCCCCCCTGAATTTCCCAACACCCCCCCACCCCCCAGTTTGGTAAACTAGTTACATGCAGTGTTGCTAATTTGGTGATTGTTTGGAAATTTGAATTGAAATTGAAACATAAATGTACATGTTAAAAGCATATAAAGTGTATGATAAAATACGTAGATCTGAAAAGTATGAACATAGACTAGCTTCCTTATACAGTGGCTGTTTTTATGACCATGTCAGTGCATTCATTTCGGTGATGTTGGCCAACCTAATCATTTCAAATTATGATTTGTAAGCAAAGTCTAAATGAGCTCTCCCTGATAGCTAGTGATGAGCTGGGGGCTGGGGGGGGGAAGGCTTCAGGACCAGGTTGTATTTACATTCACACCTAATCTACCTAGGTATCCAGCAAATAGAGCTGTGTTGCCCAAGTGATAGATTTTGGCTGGGGTTGGGTTACAAATCACTTGAATGCGGGCGGGGGGGGGGCGAGGGGGAAGTAATGAAATGTTGTTATTCTTATTGTATGAGTAAAGGGCAGTAGAACTGTCCTTAGCCTGTGCTGATTGAGGGCATCAGGAGAGAGGGTGGGGACAGGTGTTTTGCTTGATGGTCTGCCGGAGTCACAAATACGATTTGACCTGCCCCTCTCCACTGTTTAAAGACAGAGCTGATTAGGCTCCATAGAGAGTCTTTTGTTCTGTTAAGTTTCAGAGTAACAGCCGTGTTAGTCTGTATTCACAAAAAGAAAAGGAGGACTTGTGGCACCTTAGAGACTAATGAATTTATTTGAGCATAAGCTTTCGTGAGCTTATGCTCAAATAAATTGGTCAGTCTCTAAGGTGCCACAAGTCCTCCTTTTCTTTTTGTTCTGTTAAGTGACCACTGCAGCTGAAATCACTGAGAATCAGGTCTAAGTGTTTAGACCTGCTGTGGGACAGTGTTTCTGTGGCAGAGACGGCCCAGTCTGCACTAGCAGTGAGGTTCCCCCACTGAGAGCTCGGCTGAAATCACTGAGAGCCGGTGGAACTGCAAGAGACCGACTCACAGAGGTCACAGTGGCAGCGTAGGGCCATTGGCAACACAGTGATGGAGTCAACAGCGGCACAACGAACAACAGTGGCCAGAGCGAACAGTGAGCAGCTGGAGGAACGAGCAAGGTGCCTTCTTGCCCCCCACCTGGGAGGTGAACTCCTGTGAAAGCAGCTCTGAACTCTCAGTCTCCACTGACCAAGGACAACACCGGTGAGTGTTAATGAGGCTGTTAAGAATGCTGGGGACGCAACACAATTCATGCAAACACACATGGCTGTGGCATCATACTTTCTATTTAGGCAAGAGATACCACACGCTACAAACTGGAGGCCAATGTTAAGTGCATTGTCACTTGTTCATCCTGAAGCTGAACGCTGGTTCCGAACAAGACCAGCAAATGCTCACTGTCTTTCTGCAAGAAACTCAACTGACTGGCTAGATGCATGCGGTGCAACAGTGAAAGACTCAGCAGTTGAAAAAGTGAAGGACTCTCTCACCACATTCAGAAAATTTGCATACATGGCTGACGAATGCACCGATGCAAATGGGCATCAAGTATTACGTCATTGTGTACGTTATCTTGGTAGATACTTTAAAAAGTCAGTAATAATGGGGGGGTTAGGGAAATCCCTGTCCTGGCCCCTGCACATGGGGCAGGGGCAGGGGCAGGGGCAGGGCCAGGGCCAGCGCAGCTGCTGTTGAAGAAGTAGGGTGTGATGATTTTAAAACATGAGTTAAATCTAATAACATGGTTATGAAACGTTTTTCAATTTTTACTATGGTGCCAGACAGCCCACTTTCACCCTCACGGTCTCACCCATCATTGCCCTGACCCCCCTGACCAGTAAATTCGAACACCCCCCTAATTTCAATTCCTGGGGAAAACACTGGTCTGGGAGGTGGCTGGGGCAGGATTCGGTCCTGCCCTCACCCCAGGCACCTCCTTCAGGAGAGCAGGGGTGGAGAAGAGGCATTAGCTGGGGATTTTTAAAGGTGCTTCCAGGAATTGCAGGCACCACCCCCACTAGATTTCTGCAGGATTGGGGCCTGCTAGGGCAGCAAGTTTCCAGTCTGAGCTCCATCCCTGCCATAACGTGGCTCTCACTTGCCTCTGTAACAAAATTCCTGGCCAGCTGGGCTAGCAATTCAGGCCTGCCCATGTTCCCACTCATCCAGCATTTGTCATAACTCCAATGCACACAATCTGTCGCCTGCAACAAATCCAAGCTTGGAAAACGACGCTGGGGCTTCAAACGCATTTTTCACACTTAGCGGCATGCTGCCCCTCTCGAAGCCAGCATGCAGGAGCCTGTCCCCTTCTCTGTCCCAGAGGGGTCATGGGCCCAAACTCTAGTCCCACATGGCAGCAGTTGACTGTATGGAAAAAGCTACAGCTCTGGGTCGGATGGCAGGGGTGTGGTTATTTTAGGAGTCTCATATTAGCCTCTCTGAGGACCCTCTATCCACAGCTCTTCCTCCATGGAATCCCTTGCAAAGAGGCCAGGCAGCAGGCAGGGCTGGCGGGGAGACCGGTGTGCCAGGGCGCGGATGCAGCAATGTAACCTATGGGGCAGCCCACGGAGGCTGCTGAAACTCGGCACCCAGAGGTTGTCTAACTCCCACCAGTGGCCTCTCCAGCCCCAGAACAGCCTGGATCAAGGGTCACACAGGCGGCTTACAGACCCCTTAGCTGCCCCCGCTGGACTGTGAGTTCTAGGCTGCCCCTCGGGCTCTGAGCCAGGCCAATCCTAGCCTTGTGTCGGCTCTAGCTCAGGGCAGCCCAGCCTCATCAGAGGACAGGCTCTCTGGGTCCACGTCAGACGGGGAGAGAAAAAGCGAGTTTTAACCCTAGATGGTTGTGGCAGAGAAATGCACCTCCACCTCTGCCAGCCCCCAGCCAGCACTCTCCACCCGCCAGGCTCCTAAGCAGCTGCATACCTGTCTAGTCACGCACGTGTACAGCTCCCCCGTTTGGCCATGTGGTAAGTGCACACACAGACAGGCACAAGTGATGTGAATCAGGCTCTGGAGTCCTGGGGAGAGCAGGCAGATAGGGGCCAGGGCACTGCGTGGTTCCGGCAGGCCAGGGCAGACCTCCCATCTGCAGGGGAGCCCTGGGGCTTGCTGGGAGAAGAGAGAGGACTGCCACTGTCTGTGTCTCAGGGTATTTATTAGTGAGGCAGCTACAGGGAGCTCATGGCCCCGTCTGCAGATCACACTGACTACGTGGAACACACCAGTGTCTTTACAAACAAGGTATTGTACTCAGTGACCTCAGCTCTGCAAACACCTAAACAGATTCCATGGAGCATGCGAGCACCACCTGATGTCATGGCCTCCCCTCTCGGGCCGCAGGGTTTCTGGCACACGGCACCTCTGCTCTCCGCCCAGGTACGGTGCTGCTCTCTCACCAGGGAATAGTCTTCCCTGTCCAGCTCCAGAGGCTCCCACTGTGCTTCTCGGAGAGGGTAGGAAGCACGGCGAGAATCCCCCGCACACTTTCGTCCACGGGCAGGTGGGCCTGCAACAGTCCAGGAAATTCAGACGTCAACAAGCTGGCCGGGGGGCTGGAACAATGTGTATAGTTTTTGGGGAAGGGGGTGAGAGCCATTGAACCAACCTGTAACCCCTGGATATGATGGAAACCAATTCAAACCAGAGGGTGCGGCAGCCCCCCAGCCTCTCAAGTTCCAGCACCTATGGAAGCTGGACTCAGTTCTCTGGGGCCAAGCCACCCCATACAGTCAGGCCTGGGCATGCTTCCTGCACATGTGTACGCCCAGACTTGCAGATGTGGGAGTTTATCTGTACATGCTCCTACGGCCCAGCTGCAGAGCCCTGAGCATGTGCAGAGTTGGCAGGTGTGCACACAGGTGACTGGTCAGTTACACGTGTAGGTACCAGGCACACAGCAGATGTGGGGGCAGATCACCTGGTTCTGGCTTGCAGCTCTGGGCCATGGTGGGTAGCGTGTATTGGATAAGCTGGAAGGCCGGCCACAAGGCTGGAGGTCGTGACCAGCACAGGCTGCCTTCAAAGGCCCAGGGGCAGTGGAGGCAGAGATCAGTTCACGTACTGCTGCAGACGGCTGCTCTCCGCTGGGAGGTTCCTGAACCCCAGCCCCTCTCCCGCGCCACAATCGCTGCTCCCAGGGACCCAGCACTCACTTCTTGGGTGCCCATGTCGGTCTTCACCCAACCGGGATGAACTGCAGTGCACAGAACGCCGTCCTCCGCGTAGCTCAGTGCCTGGCACCGGGTCAGCATGTTGAGAGTGGCCCACATGGGAAGGGTTCGTGAACTGAGGGTATTACCATGTGCTCGCCCTGGCTGTGTTCCTCCACACACAGGAGCAGCTGCACGATCTCAGGAGAGAGCCTCGTGTGCGCGGCTCCTCTGTGACAGGCAGTAGCGACACTGAGGCCAAAACGCCTGCTTAGTGCTACGGTGAGGCCGTCACCGGCGTTCTGAGCGTGTTAAAGGCACAGCACATAAAAACCAAGAGCCCCACAGCTACATCCTGCAAGGTCCCACCCACCGGTACTGCCTTTGGACACTGCCCAGCTGGAATAGCAGGGTACGTTAGCAGGGGATACCATTGCCCCTGGGAGCCAGGCTTGGGGAAGGAGGGGGCTGTACCTTGCTGCAGCGGTAGGAGATGGCTGGCACGGAGAATGTCTCAGGGACTCTCTCAATGAATGTCTCAGGGACTCTCTCAATGGATCCCATAAAAGAGGAAATGTTCACAATGGCCGCCTTGCTGCAGCTCAGCCCATTCTGGCTACTTCCCTGGGCAGCCTTCTTCAGCAAGGGCAGGAATGCCTGGCGGGAAGACAGTCCCACGGGGTCTGTGTGGAGCTAGTGCCCCTTCACTCCGGGAGCGAGCTCCATCCAACACAGTCCCAGGCAGCCCAGGGGGAAGCACAGACCAGAAAAGGAGGGATTTCAATTAGCCCCAAATTTCTGGGCTTTTCCTCCCACCCGAGCAACTGTCCCTCGAGAGCGCTCCCAAGCCCTGTGTTAGGTGAACGCATGAAGCAGGAGCACAGGACCAAACGCAGAGTTCTGGGCTCAATCCTTGGCTTTGTCACTGACGTACGTGACCCTAGGCACATCCAATATGCCTCCCTGTGCCTCAGTTTCCCATTGGGAACACAGGCACCTGCATAAAGTACTTTTGACAACCAGGGCTGGATTAACCTTTTGTGGGCCTGGCGCCAAACATGTTTGTGGACCCCCATGTGGTTGTTATGGGCCCCTTCTGAGTGTGGGCCTTGTGCGACGACACCATAGTATACCCGGTACTGCTGGGATGGGGATGAAGACCTTTATTTAAACAAAATAAGATATTTAAAGCCACGGTTGATTGAGATCTGCACTCAGCCCATAGAGAACAAACTGGGTTAGCATGAATATACCCAGAATACTCTTGAATGTGATTTGTTTGTGGTGGGGGGGTTTGTGGTTTGTTAGTTTTGTCTTTTATGTTTAAACACTCAGGGCCTGCTTGGGGCCCTGAACACAAGTGCTTAACTACCACGTTTATAAGCCACATTAAGCCCAGACGCAGCAGTCACTAGAGTTGCATCTCCCCACCTCCTCCTCCACCCAAAGTTATGTTTCATAAATACATCTTTTGAAAGCTGGATTTTCTACTTTGGTATAATAATGTTTACAGAACTTTTTAAAATGTTAGTTTTTAGCCTATTTCTCCCTTTGTAGCCATGAGGGATGTAGTAAGATGAGGCCCTGAAACATAAACCCTTGGTATCAGAGGCCTGAACCAAAGGAATGGTCAAGACTTCGCTATCATAAAGCAAAGTTAAGCTGTGAGCCAGAGGCAGACTTGTTGGTTCGAACCAACATGTACCAGGAGAGAGGCAGCACCCCAACACGCGGAGGGATTGTACCTCGATGCGTCAGGAGTGATGTGTACTTTGTTTGGACCTATGTATAAGAATGCATCCCTGAGTGGGAGTCTTTGTCCAGCCTAGGGGACAGTGGAGTATCCTGCTACTATCTGAGCTGTGTCCATTGTCAGGTGGCACATATTCGTAGTATGTCCTGTAGAGTCTGCTGGAAACTATTACTGTGCTTTGTTTAACAATAAACCTTGCCGGTGCCTTCGTACCTTATCAGAGTCGGTAGTCATTGGGGGTTCTCTCGGGGTCTGCTGGGTCAGCAATCTGCAGAGCCGGGGCAGCACACAGAGGGAACACGCACGCAGCCGACTGGTATCAACACTGAACAGAGCAGAGCACCGCACCGGTGGTGTCTGAAGACAAAGGGTGGTGAGGCAAGCGAGCCAGTAAAGTTACTGGGGTGGAGTGTGGGGAGGAAAACTGCTGGTGCCCGTCTTTTGCTGGGAGAAAGGGCCGCTGAGAGACACACAGACTTTACCACCAAGGCGACCACAATCCAGCCTCAAACCAAGCCCCTACCCCAACCTTCACACCGGGGCTCCCCGAGCCCCCCAATTCACCCCCACCTTCAGCCCAGACTCTCCCCCCCTCCCTCCTCAGCCCAGACTCTCCCTCCCTGCCCCCTTCAGCCCAGACTCTCCCCCCCTGCCCCCGCCCCCTTCAGCACAGACTCTCCCCCCGCCCCCTTCAGCCCAGACTCTCCCCCCTTCCGCCCAGACCCTCCCCCCTCCCCCTTCAGCACAGACTCTCCCCCCCTCCCTCCTCAGCCCAGACTCTACCCCCCCCCCCGCCCCCTTCAGCCCAGACTCTACCCCCTCCCCCCGCCCCCTTCAGCCCAGACTCTCCCCCCTCCCTCCTCAGCCCAGACCCCTCCCCCCCTGCCCCCTTCAGCCCAGACTCTCCCCCCCCCTCCCTCCTCAGCCCAGACTCTCCCCCCTGTCCCCTTCAGCCCAGACTCTCCCCCCGGTCCCCCTCCCCCCCTGCCCCCTTCAGCCCAGACTCTCCCCCCCTGCCCCCCGCCCCCTTCAGCACAGACTCTCCCCCCCTTCCCCCCTTCAGCCCAGACCCCTCCCCCCTCCCCCTTCAGCACAGACTCTCCCCCCTCCCTCCTCAGCCCAGACCCCCCCCCTCACCCCAGACTCTCCCCCCCGCCCCCTTCGCCCCCCCTTCAGCCCAGACTCTCCCCTCCCTGTGCCCCACTTCTCCTACCCCCCCGAGTCACCGCCCGCTCCCCCGTCGCTCCCTGACTCGCCCCACAACTGCCCCCTGCGCTCCGCGCGGTGCGAGGGGCGGGGTCCGGCCACCCCCCTGACCGGCCCCGCTGCCATCGCCCCCTGCGGCCCGGAGGCCCACGGAGCCCAGGCGGGTGCGCGCCCCCCGCCCCGCCTCCTTTCCTGGGTCCGCTCCCACCCCACGCTCGTCGCCGGCGGGCGCGGGGCATGCTGGGACTTGTAGTGCCGGTGGCGGAGCAGGCCCAGGGGCCCAGGCGGAACGCTCTGGCCTGCGGACTACAACTCCCAGCCCCCCCCCCCAGGCCGGGCGGCGGCCGGGCCGAGAGCCGGGGGGCGCCGCCATGGGCCCGGGGGCTCCCGGCTTGCCCCGCTCCCGCTCCCCGGCCTGTGCCCCGGTCCCTGCGGGCGCCCCGCGGCCGCTCAGACCCCTCCGCCGCCGGGCCGGGCTCGTCTCGCCGGGTCTGGGGCCGGGCCTCGCCGCTGGCTCCGCGGGGCCCCGAGCGGCGTCCGTGGGCCCGGGGCTCCCGGCGGCTCCGCCCTGCCCGGCGCCGCACCCCGGAGCGGCCGAGCCAGGCCGAGCGCCCTGCGTCCGACAGAGAAGCCTCGGGCTGCCGCCAGCGGCCGCTCCGGCACTCGCCCGGGGGCCAGGGGGCCTGCTGCGGCCCCTTGCCTCAGTTTCCCTCGTGCGTTCTTTGGTCCGGTCCAGCCAGACTCGTGACCTGATCCTGAGAGAGTCTGGCTGGACCGGGCCAAAGAACGCGCCTGATCCAAAGACAGTAAGTGTGAAATTGGGATGGGGTGGGGGGTAGTTGGCACCAAAATAAGAAAAAGCCCCAAATATGGGGTCACCCTAGCCTCCCTCCCCACACAGTCTAGGGCTGGCACCGTCTCTGCCTTCCCAGGGCTCAGGCAGGTGCCATCCCTCAGCAGCTCCTGAGTCTCCGGTTTTGTTCAGTATCTTCATAAATGATCTGGAGGATGGTGTGGATTGCACTCTCAGCAAATTTGCAGATGACACTAAACTGGGAGGAGTGGTAGATACGCTGGAGGGCAGGGATAGGATACAGAGGGACCTAGACAAATTGGAGGATTGGGCCAAAAGAAATCTGATGAGGTTCAATAAGGATAAGTGCAGGGTCCTGCACTTAGGACGGAAGAACCCAATGCACCGCTACAGACTAGGGACCGAATGGCTAGGCAGCAGTTCTGCGGAAAAGGACCTAGGGGTTACAGTGGACGAGAAGCTGGATATGAGTCACCAGTGTGCCCTTGTTGCCAAGAAGGCCAATGGCATTTTGGGATGTATAAGTAGGGGCATAGCGAGCAGATCGAGGGACGTGATCGTTCCCCTCTATTCGACATTGGTGAGGCCTCCTCTGGAGTACTGTGTCCAGTTTTGGGCCCCACACTACAAGAAGGATGTGGATAAATTGGAAAGAGTCCAGCGAAGGGCAACAAAAATGATTAGAGAAAAGAAAAGGAGTACTTGTGGCACCTTAGAGACTAACCAATTTATTTGAGCATGAGCTTTCGTGAGCTACAGCTCAAGCTCATGCTCAAATAAATTGGTTAGTCTCTAAGGTGCCACAAGTACTCCTTTTCGCGAATACAGACTAACACGGCTGTTACTCTGAAAAATGATTAGGGGTCTGGAACACATGAGTTATGAGGAGAGGCTGAGGGAACTGGGATTGTTTAGCCTGCAGAAGAGAAGAATGAGGGGGGGATTTGATAGCTACTTTCAACTACCTGAGAGGTGGTTCCAGAGAGGATGGTTCTAGACTATTCTCAGTGGTAGAAGAGGACAGGACAAGGAGTAATGGTCTCAAGTTGCAGTGGGGGAGGTTTAGGTTGGATATTAGGAAAAACTTTTTCACTAGGAGGGTGGTGAAACACTGGAATGCGTTGCCTAGGGAGGTGGTGGAATCTCCTTCCTTAGAAGTTTTTAAGGTCAGGCTTGACAAAGCCCTGGCTGGGATGATTTAATTGGGGATTGGTCCTGCTTTTGAGCAGGGGGTTGGACTAGATGACCTCCTGAGGTCCCTTCCAACCCTGATATTCTATGATTCTATGATTCTGTCCAACTCCAGGCTCCCCTCAGGAGCCGCCTCCCTGCATCTCTGCCTTTGTGGAGAGCATGAGCACCCAGCTCTCCCCCTGTCCCAGGGGCCTGCCCTCTGCTCTGTTAATGCCCCCTGAGCCCCCTGCTCTGTTAATGCCCCCAGGTGCACTCGGGGAGGGGACCACCCGTCTCCAGATCCCACGGACACGGCTGATATCTCCAGCCAGAAGCTCAGCTCAGCCCTCCCCTTCTTCCAGACCCTCCTGTCCACCCCAGATGACTCCCTCCTTACACCCGCTCCCTGGAAGTGCAGCAGCATCCCGGCCACTGCAGCCTTACCTGGCCCACCAACATTGGCCCAACCATGTTGGTCTTGTAGGCACCCAGCATCTCTTCGGAATCCACCATTGCCAGAGACGTGTTACAGAAAATGCCAGCGTTATTTATTACCAGGTTCAGGCCCAAGCCATCCAGCTGCTCCTCAACCCTCCAGGCTGCTTCCTTGATGCTCGCTGGATTCATGGCATCTGTGAAGAGGGTGGAGGGGCTGTGAGGTTAGGGCTACAAACAGCCCCTTCCTTATGTTACAGGCTCTGAGATCCTCGGGGGTGCAGTCGGACTCCAGAGTGTTCACCTCACTATCTTGTTAGAGGCACTTCAGTCCCCAAGCAATGACTGCTCAGACAAGCATCTCCGGAGAGACCCTGAGTGTCTGTCCACGCAGTCTGCAGCAGTGAGCCTGGATCGACTCAGAGTTGGAAGATCAGGGTTGGAAGGGACCTCAGGAGGTCATCTAGTCCAACCCCCTGCTCAAAGCAGGACCAACCCCAACTAAATCATCCCAGCCAGGGCTTTGTCAAGCCAGGACTTAAAAACTTCAAAGGAAGGAGATTCCACCACCTCCCTAGGGAACCCATTCTAGTGTTTCCCCACACTCCTAGTGAAATAGTGTTTCCTAATATCCAACCTAGACCCTCCCCCACTGCACTGTATCATATCTGTGTCCATGAGAGACTGTACTCGCACATGTGCACGAACAAACAAATACACTTACTTTCCATATTTGCTTCATTGTCACACCAGCTTGGACAGGCTGGGTGACACAGGCAGGGAGTCAGTCCCGGAGTTAGGGGTTGGGTCACAGGAGCAATATTTACAATCACGTGCAAAACGGAGCTTGAGCAAACTCCCACTGAAGTCCATGGGAGTCTCTCTGTTGACTTTAATGGGAGTTGGCTCAGGCCGCTAGACACCGGGACAGATCCAGAGAACAGGGAGATTCCCACAGCCACCCCATATTTAGTCACACACAAAAAGCTCTATGCTGAAAGAACATTACAACTGCAAAGTCATGCACTCCAAAGTTAGGCCATGCTGGCATGTTGAGGACTGTCCCAGTTAGAAAATGGTAAGTGATGTATTTCTTACTTACTAGATGGGTAAGTTTTTACTTGTGATTTGTGTCACGCTCTACTTGAATTGCCATCCAAGTGAATGTAAAATGTGCAAAACCAGCATTTTTTGGTATTCGTTAAAATAAAACCACTTTAAATGTGCTGGATACATAAAAAAAGTCATTTATCAAAAATGTTTTACATTTAAAACTGATTTATTAAAACAAAGGAAGTATCTGTAGTTAGTGATCTGAACTGATGGTTTCTGGTACCATGTTCCACAAGATTTTAGGACTAGCAGATCTCATCCTCTCAAACCCGGAAGAGAGAAATAAGCTTTTTAGTTTTTCCAGCTCCCAAGTTGCTTCTTAGAAAGAACTTGTCATTGAACTTTAAGGAGTGTGGCAAGGCACCTTCTCGGTCTCAGCAGCCTCAGCTCTTTTTAGCCTTGGTGAGATGGGCTTGGGTAAAACAGGCAAAGAGTCCTGTGGCACCTTATAGACTAACAGACGTATTGGAGCATAAGCTTTCGTGGGTGAATACCCACTTCATCGGATGCATGCAGTGGAAATTTCCAGAGGCAGGTATAAATATGCAAGCAAGAATCAGGCTAGGGATAACGACAGCTATAAGGACTGTAGGGATAACCTCATCACGCCAGACCTCGCCAAGATTTCCACTTTCAGCTGGGGTGATAGCTGCTTCTGTTGTAATGTCAAAATATGCCTTCTGTGCCTCCCCACACAGAAAAGGAGCAAGGATACCAGCCCGCTGGTCTTGGGGCCAGGCCTCTCGCGGGGCTGTTTTCTCGAACGTGAGGAGATATGCCTCTACGTTGTTGTCCATTGTCATCTTCTGTAACTAGCTGCTTGCCTGCAGGGGCTGGGTCCCATGGGGGCCGTGCGTCAGGGTGGTCAGGGCCTTTAGCTGGTTCACAACCTTACGCAGGGTGGCTCGATCCTGGGCCACCTGGCTCATCAGTAATTGATTCATCTCCTGCTGTATTCACACTGACTCCTGCTGGGTAGCCATCTGAACCCTGGTAGCCTCTTGCTGGGCTGTGGTGGCCTGCACCAACGCCTTCACTAAATCCTCTATTTCTTTTTTGTTGTTGTTGGGGGTGATTTACCCTGCCCTGAGATGGTTCGCCACAAAGTCTCACTCACACATCCCACTCTTGACACGACGTGTGGTAAGACACCACCTCAGTCTCACCAGCCTCAGCTGTTTTTACCCTTGGTGAAACGGGCTTGGGGAAAACAGTTCCTCTTGGCTGTACAGGGACAGTCCGTCCTTCTCTCAGCCAGTCTCTTGGGCTTGTTTTCTCCCTTAAGGGAGGGAATGCAGCCTGAGGCTCACTGTCTTGCTGCTCCTCACCTGCTGGCAGCTTGGCTCCTTCTCTCTCTCTCCTTCTCCCAACAGGGGAGGGTTTAAAAAGGTCTCAGACAGGCCTTAGTTGGCATCATCTGATCCTAATTGACCTCAGGTAACTCCCTCTCAGCTGATCCTAATTGATCTCTGATAACCCTCTTCACAGCTGAACCTGATTGACCTATAGTCACCCCTCCTCAGTTGATTGGGAGGAGGACCTTTTAACTTCTGGGACTGTTCCCCCCCCCACATCCCCTTGCAGCTGTCTGACCTGAGTTTATCACAGGAATTAAATAACTGATATGAAGAAAGAAAAGGAGTACTTGTGGCACCTTAGAGACTAACCAATTTATTTGAGCATGAGCTTTCGTGAGCTACAGCTCACTTCATCAGCTCACGAAAGCTTATGCTCAAATAAATTGGTTAGTCTCTAAGGTGCCACAAGTACTCCTTTTCTTTTTGCGAATACAGACTAACACGGCTGTTCCTCTGAAACCTGATATGAAGAAGATATTTTTTGCACCTGCTGAAGAGGCTACTGCTGTCAAAAGCCGGGTTACCATTTCATAAGAACGGTCTGACCCACTATGGCCGAAGGTCCATCTAGCTCAGTATCCTGTCTTCTGACAGTGGCCAATGCCGGGTACCCCAGAAGGAATGAACAGAACAGGTCATCGTCAAGTGATCCACTAAAGCAAACTCTGGTTCCAGGTGCCTAGACAGTGACTTCCCCAGTTCAGCAGTTTGACTTGCTTTAAATCTTGGAAGGAAAGCAGGACTGGTGAATATTATTTTTTCTATTTAATTTCAATGATTTCAATAGATTATAATAAATTTAGGCCTTAAATTTACAATATTTTATAATATAAATTTACAATAGGTTTATTTTTAAAAATTGAACCTGTATTTAATTTAAATTCAGGCTGTCAAGCGATTAAAAAAATTGATCACAATTAATCATGTAATTAAAAAAATGAATCGCAAATATTTGTGCGATTAATAGCACTGTTAAACAATAATAGAATACCATTTATTTAAATATTTTGGATGTTTTCTACATTTTCAGATATTGATTTCAATTACAACACAGACTATAAAGTGCACAGTGCTCACTTTATATTTATTTATGATTACAAATATTTGCACTGTAAAAAACAAAAGAAATAGTATTTTTCAGTTCACCTAATACAAGTACTGTAGTGCAGTCTCTTTATCATGAAAGTTGAACTTATAGATGTCGAATTATGTACAAAAATAACTCATTCAAAAATAAAACAATGCAAAACTTTAGAGCCTACAAGTCCTCTCAGTCCTACTTCTTGTTCAGCCAATCGCTAAGGCAAACAAGTTTGTTTACATTTATGGGAGATAGTGCTGCCCATTTCTTGTTTACATTGTCACCTGAAAGTGAGAACAGGGATTCACATTGCACTGTTGTAGCCAGCGTCACAAGATATTTAAGATTCATATGTCCCTTCATGCTTTAATCACCGTTCCAGAGTACCTGTGTCCATGCTGATGACGGGTTCTGCTCGATAACGATCCAAAGCAGAGCAGACCGATGTACATTCATGTTCATCATCTGAGTCGGATGCCACCAGCAGAAGGTTGATTTTCTTTTTTGGTGGTTTCGGTTCTGTAGTTTCCGCATTTGAGTGTTGCTCTTTTAAGACTTCTGAAAGCATGCTCCAAATCTCGTCCCTTCCAGATTTTGAAGGCACTTCAGATTCTTAAACCTTGGGTCAAGTGCTGTAGCTATCTTTTAAAATCTCACATTGGTACCTTCTTTGCATTTTGTCAAATATGTAGTGAACTTGTTCTTAAAACGAACAACATGCTGGGTCATCACCCGAGACTCCCATAATATGAAATATATAGCAGAATGTGGGTAAAACAGAGCAGGAGACATATGATTCTCCCCAAGGAGTTCAGTCACAAATTTAATTAATGCATTATTTATTTTAAACGAGCGTCATCAACATGGAAACATGTCCTCTGGGATGGTGGTTCAAGCATGAAGGAACATATGAATCTTTAGCTCATCTGGAACTTAAATATCTTGTGATGCCAGCTACAACAGTGCCCTATATGCTTGTTCTCACTTTCAGGAGCCAGCCGCCTCCTCCCAGACCTTTCCCTGCCACATCCCTCCTTGCTTGCCTGCCCCCACAGGAGGCGGGATGAGGCGGGATGCGGTGAGCACCTCTGGAGATGGGGGGTGCAGTGGAGGAGAGGAGAAACTCACCAGCCAACAGCAGCAGGCGTTGGTTGGGGTCCTTGGGGAAGAGGCGGAGCAGGGAGTGGAAGGGGCGGGGCCACCACAGCCCAGCTGTCCGGGGGCGGGTACACCAGGGAAGGCTCAGCCTTGCCTATTACACCCGCTGCCAATGCCCTGGTGCACATGTACGAAGGTGCGTCAGGTTGCAGCCCCCTTCCGGCTCCTCCAGGGCCTCTCACTCAGGCTGTGGCTCTCCCCAGCTCCTGATCTATGCACCCCCCATCCGTGGCCCACGAAGTCTCAGGACCGCCTTGTCAGCTTCCTTGAGGCACTGGGCAAGACTGCTATCCAGCGCTCCAGGGAGGAAGCTGGATGGGGGGGGCTTTTTGACTGTGGGGACCATTTCTAGTCCCTTGCGCTCCCGTCTCTGGGCAGAGTTCTGCTGGGCTGTGTCCACTAACTCCTTGGACACCTTTGAGGAGTGGTGGGTGCCGTCCGGCGTTCTGGGCTCAGTGTCCAACTCTGATCCCTGATGCTTTACCTCTGACCTCACGACGCTCCTCTTTTTTCCTTTGCTGTCCCCAGAAATCAATTGTAGCTTGTGATGGGTGGTTCCTCCCCCTTACTCGAGGGGGGAGGCCGAGCCCTCCTGCCCCAGTACTACATCGCCCTGCTCCAGCCCTAGAGCAGGTGCCTCCTGAACATTGAGGGGTCCTGTGCAAAGAGGGAGTCTGCACGAATGTAATTAAACACAGTACCGTAATGCCTGTGCAAGGGGGCCAAGTTAAGGCTGCACGGGCACCCATCATTCCGGCACTTCCTAACTTAGGAGCATTTGACTTTCAACACAATTAGCCACAGCTGCTACCCAAAGCTCACTGGGCCAGCTTCTCTACGGCCTTGCACAGGTGGGTGTGCTCTCCGTACGCAGGCTGGTTGCCTTTGACCCTCACGTTGCACAGCTGCAAAGGCCAGCCTGGCTCAGTGCATTATGTAGCTAGAGGCCAATGGCAAGTCTCTTGCCTGCGGGGTGAGTTTCCTGAGAGTGGTTAGATGCAGGGTTTTTGCTCAGGCCCCTCTCAGTGGCCCCAGCTGGTCTGTAGCTCAGCAGAGGCTGGCAGAGAGATCGGTGCATTGCTCTGTGCTGACCCAGACATGGCTGCAAGGACCTTTACTATCAGAAAGCAGCAGTTCATTCCAGGGACGCAGGCCAGCTAAGCAGCCTCTCCAGCTTTCCGTATGAACACGAATGCAAGCCCAGCGGCAGCGCTCCGAGGAGACTGGCTCTGGTTATGTAGCCGCACGTGCACAGTGTTGGAGCAGTGCCAATAACAAAGCCAGATGTTCTGGCAGGGGTAGGCAACCTATGGCCCGCGTGCCGATTTCCAGTGGCACTCACCCTGCCCGGGTCCTGGCCACAGGACCGGGGGGCTCTGCATTTTAATTTAATGTTAAATGAAGCTTCTTAAACATTTTAAAAACTTTATTTATTTGACATGCAACAATAGTTTAGTTATATATTATAGACTTATAGAAAGAGACCTTCTAAAAACGTTAACATGCATGACTGGCACGCGAAACCTTAAATTAGAGTGAATAAACGAAGACTCGGCACCCCACTTATCATAGAATCATAGAATATCAGGGTTGGAAGGGACCCCAGAAGGTCATCTAGTCCAACCCCCTGCTCAAAAGCAGGACCCATCCCCAATTAAATCATCCCAGCCAGGGCTTTGTCAAGCCTGACCTTAAAAACTTCTAAGGAAGGAGATTCTACCACCTCCCTAGGTAATGCATTCCAGTGTTTCACCACCCTCCTAGTGAAAAAGTTTTTCCGAATATCCAACCTAAACCTCCCCCACTGCAACTTGAGACCATTACTCCTTGTCCTGTCCTCTTCTACCACTGAGAATAGTCTAGAACCATCCTCTCTGGAACCACCTCTCAGGTAGTTGAAAGCAGCTATCAAATCCCCCCTCATTCTTCTCTTCTGCAGACTAAACAATCCCAGCTCCCTCAGCCTCTCCTCATAAGTCATGTGTTCCAGACCTCTAATCATTTTTGTTGCCCTTCGCTGGACTCTTTCCAATTTATCCACATCCTTCTTGTAGTGTGGGGCCCAAAACTGGACACAGTACTCCAGATGAGGCCTCACCAATGTCGAATAGAGGGGGACGATCACGTCCCTCGATCTGCTGGCAATGTCCCTACTTATACATCCCAAAATGCCATTGGCCTTCTTGGCAACAAGGGCACACTGTTGACTCATATCCAGCTTCTCGTCCACTGTCACCCCTAGGTCCTTTTCCGCAGAACTGCTGCCTAGCCATTCGGTCCCTAGTCTGTAGCTGTGCATTGGGTTCTTCCGTCCTAAGTGTAGGACCCTGCACTTATCCTTATTGAACCTCATCAGATTTCTTTTGGCCCAATCCTCCCAATTTGTCTAGGTCCCTCTGTATCCTATCCCTCCCCTCCAGCATATCTACCACTCCTCCCAGTTTAGTATCATCCGCAGATTTGCTGAGTGCAATCCACACCATCCTCCAGATCATTTATGAAGATATTGAACAAAACCGGCCCCAGGACCGACCCCTGGGGCACTCCACTTGACACCGGCTGCCAACTAGACATGGAGCCATTGATCACTACCCGTTGAGCCCGACAATCTAGCCAGCTTTCTATCCACCTTATAGTGCATTCATCCAGCCCGTACTTCCTTAACTTGCTGACAAGAATACTGTGGGAAGAATACTTCTGAAAGGTTGCCGACCCCTGTGCTATGGTAATTCCTGACCTGTCCTGACCTGTCCTCGTGCTCCCTCTGGGTCCCGGCAGGTGGCAAAGACCCACTGTGGTGGGTTTGATTCCCCAGCAGCTGCTTCACCAGCTCTAGCCCAATTCCCCGATTGGATCCGGTCAGCAGAACACTGCGGAGGCTGAGCCCTGCCATGCTCCCTCAGCTGCCACAGGCCTTGCTCTGTCGGCGTGAGCTCAGGAATTAGGCCCCCAAGCTCCCTCCTACTCGCCCTTTGTGCATTTCCCCTAGTGGCTGCAGCTAAACGGCACTGTCCGGGTTGATTTCGTGTGGACTTTCCAGTGTCTTCCAGTCAGGCCAGAGCAGCACAGGAGTGAACAATTGTTAGAGGGAGGCACGTTTTCTCTGACAGGCAAATCAACTCCTCTTTATCCTAGAGTGAAGCAGTCCAAGTGTCTTGCTTTCTAAAAGGTGGGTAATGAGGGCTCGTTACATTTCTTCTGGCTGACTAAATGAATTGCATTTGAGGTATCCAGGTTCCCTTGTTTTACAAACATCCATTTCACAGATCCCTGGGCTCCCTGCTCCCTTCTCCCAAACTTTAGTGTCATTTGTACCCACAGACACATGTATCTGCCAGTCACTGTTGGCCAGAACAATACTGTACTAACAACCCTGCCAGGTGTGTCTTTATCTGCTTCTCCTTCAGCCTCAACAATAAATAGCGAATTGCCATGCAAGTTAAAGGATTAATTGGGGTTCTCTTTCCTAAATGGCTAAAGATCCAGTTAATCTGCTCTCCACAAGGGTAGGAAGTAACTTAATAGCTGTAACTACTGTAGATTCAGTATTACTATCAAGAATGTAAATACAAAAGCAGGTGGGATTTTCTGAACAGAGAAATTGTATTTTCAGGCACAGTGAGTGAAAACATTCATGTCCTATTGGTGCAGACCTGGCTGCATTGACACATGTAATGGGTACTGCATGTACTGATTACAAAACATAAACCTACAGTAGGAAGGGGGGTTTCATTTGGGAAAACATTTTCCTGGGGGGGAAAAATCGCTCTGTTGCCAGTTCTTGATTGATGGGAATAGAATTTTATCCCTACATTGAAAGCGCAGGGAATAGTGCTCATAGTTTGAAACAAGGGGAAGTTGATTAGCTTTACACATTTTGTAAACCCTAAATAAGGAATTAGACGTTCCTGGTTTTGGACAGAGAGAAAAGCAAACAATCAAATTTCTTCTCTATTTACTGTGGCCCTGATCCTGCAAATATTTGTACACATGAGATATTTCATGTTAAGAGAAGATTTTTTAGAACGTAAGGGCCTGATCCTGGGACTATACCCATGAGGAGACCCACTGAGTCAAAGCAATTTCTCCTAGGAGTAAAGTTACCCCAGTGCGTAAGTGTTTGCAGGATCAGTCCGTAACTGCCTTCCTCTCTCTTAGGCCTTATATTATATTACAAGTAGATTAATATTAAAGAGAGCTTAGGTCTAAAAAATACATCCCCAATTGTGTTTTTCTCTTTATTAGAAGTTTCAGAGGAACAGCCGTGTTAGTCTGTATTCGCAAAAAGAAAAGGAGTACTTGTGGCACCTTAGAGACTAACCAATTTATTTGAGCATGAGCTTTCGTGAGCCACAGCTCACTGATGAAGTGAGCTGTGGCTCACGAAAGCTCATGCTCAAATAAATTGGTTAGTCTCTAAGGTGCCACAAGTACTCCTTTTCTTTTTATTAGAAGTGATTTTGAAGACAATGCGGTTTAAAGGTCACCATGGAGATTTTAACTGTGTTAAGCAGTGAGAGGAAGGAATCTTAAGACAGACACCCTCCCCCTCAACTGCGCATGCTCCATCCCAACCCCACAGAACAATTGGGCAAGTCCAGCAGTCATAATAAAGATGATATCATAATGCATAGTCACAAGGGGACCAAATTAAGGTTGCACAGATAACCTTAATTCTGGCATTTCCTTGCTTTTAAGTGCTTGAGTTTGCAACTTTAAAGTCTTTTAACCATTTTTTGTAGTGATTCCCCCTCTTGGTAAAGCACTTGGAGATCTAGGGAATGAAAATTCTATGTAAATGCAAAGTTTTGTTATGAGCTCTGCTGGCAGCTTTCTGCATGTGCTTTAGCACCAGGATGAAGGGGTAAACGTCACAAGGAAAGATGCTCCTGATGCAAGCTGAGCGGTAGGAAAGTCACCAGAAGCAGGAAGTTTCCAGACGGTGCAGTGCTCCTGATGCATGTGGGTCAGCAATCATGCAAACCCTCCCCCACCTTGTCTCTCTAATATCCTGGGACCTACATGGCTATACCAATGGTGCAGCTTTAATAGGAGGCTGCAACTGGTGAGGCTGCCAACCTCTTGGGAAAGCTGAGCTGCCCGCACAGCCCATCTGAATGGAGGAATTCCACTGAGGGAAAATACAGGGAGGATTTCGAAAGCAAAGAAAGCAGGTGGTGTTTGGAACTGGGGGTGCTGAAGACAATGCTTTAAAATAATGAAATGTTTGCATATTGCCAAAAAAAAAGGGTCTGTTGTACTTTGCTTTTGCAACAACCTAGGGAAATTCAGGGTCCTTTTTGCAACACTTTCTTCTCTTTATATCTTTTTTTGAAAAGTCAGAAACCAACTGTGCCACTCGCGCTTTGCGGAGAGGAAACTTTCAGGTGGTACTGGTTACTTAGCTGAAGGTCATTAGGCACAAGACCTTCAAACTGCTACTTCCTTTCAATTCTGTGTGTCTTTCATGTGTTCGGTTTTCGCCAGAGACTACCCTACAGTAACGACGAAGTGGATGGTACACAGAGCGGAAGCAGCTTGGCTGGGGACCGAGCTCTGTGGCTGGACAGTGCTCTGTAACTGAATGCATTCTGATGTGTTCTGTTGCCAGGGGCGGCGAGTCGTATGGGCCCGTGGTGCCCAGGCTCCAGGAATGTTCAGGGGCCCAGCTCCACCAATGTTCAGACTCAGGTCTCTCCCCTGGCCCTGCCTGCACCCCCCGTGCGCCTCCCCCTGGCCCCGGAGCATCCCTGCCTCAGGCGGGCGGCTGCCCTGCCACTCGGCGCTGCGCTCCCTCGCCGCAGCCAGCAGCCGCTGCTGCCTAAAGCGCACGAGGTGGCTGCTGCATCTAAGGAGGGGAGGAGGGGCACGCAGGGTTGGCAGCCCGCCCCTCTCTGGGCACCCCCCAGGAGGCGACGCCGAGGGGCTTCTGGGAGACGGAGTCTGGACCTCACCTAAGCAGCTGCTGGGGCTTGGTGAGTGTCCGGCCATGTGATCCGTGGCCCCCACAGCCACGACTCCTGCCCCTGTGAGGATACAGTGAGGGGCAGCAGGGGCGGAGGCCGTGTGTGATGGCATCCCCCGGGCACTCACCACAGGGGAGGCAAGGGGGCTTCCTGGACCTGAGGGGGCCTGGCCCCTAGGAGCACGTGCAGTGAGGGTGCCAGGTGGGTGTGCTGTTGGGGGGAAGAGGGGACCCCCTCCCCTGCAGCTCACTGCTGCCAGCAGGGAGAGCCACAGCCAGTCTCAATTTGGCCGGGTTTCCGTAACCACTCCATTTGCCTTTCAGAATGCTTTGTGTTGTGCTTCGGTCTTTTTCTCTTGTGTACGCCAGTCAGTCCATTTCCAGACTTTGGCACAAAGCTTCTAGCATGTTTGTCATAAAACTAAGGGGGCCGGGCTCTCTGTGTGCCTCGCCCCCGCCCTGAACTCGGCTTAGCAGGGCCGTCCCCACCCATACGCAAAGTACTCAGCTGCATTGGGCACCAGGAAATTTGGGGCACCACGTTTCCTGGTGCCCTGCACAGCTGCGTGCTGCTCCAGCCCCTGCTCCGGCTCTTCCCCATGGCCCCCGCCCCTGCTCCTCCTCCACCCCACCTCTTCCCGCCCCTGCTCCGCCCCAGCCCTCCGCCCACTCCGCCCCTTCCCCAAAGCCCCGCCCCCACTCCCCTGAGGACTGCGGCAGAGATAGGGCCTGCCCTGCACTCACCGGCAGCGATAAGTGCCGCATCCCGGCCCCAGCCTGCTCCGCAAAGCCAGCTCCCAGCCACGCCACCGGCGAGTGCTGGGGGGCAGTTCACCCCTGTCCTCCAAGGCTGGGAGCCCGGGGAGCAGTGCAGAGCGGGCTGGGGTCAGGGGATGGTTTCCCCCCAGCCCGTCCTCATGGAGGACTAGGGCCCCACACAGCCCCCCCCCACATGGGGGCTGCATAGGGCACCAAAATGGCTAGGGACGGCCCTGTGGTTTATGTTGGACAGTGGTAGGGCCGCATTCACACCCGTGACCCAATGGCATCCCAGGCGAGGAGCATCCTCGGCTCTCCCCCTCCCCACATTTGTAAAACATTTGAATACCTAGATTTGTATTGCATTGGGAGCCCATTTCACGACTTTGATGCATGATTTGCAGGCATGAAGAAAAGGAGTACAGGCATGCGTTATCCCTGTCAGATAATACATTTGCTAACAACAAAAGCAGCACCCCGAGCCTGGTGCCCCCCCCAAGCCCAGCACTCCAGGCAGTCACCTGCATCGCCTGCCCCTAAATCCGGCCCTGCCTCCAGGCCAGCCCAGGAATCTCGCCCCAGCCTTCATCCCACAGGCCATTCCAGGAGCACACGGGGCTCCTGCTCACATTTTCCCCCGGAGTCCTTGCCAATGGCAGGTCCTGTGCCCCAGTGAAATCCAGCGAGCTCCTACCCATGTGAAGAGGGGCAGCCTCTGGGCTCCAGAGGCCATGATGGTTCAGCTCTGGAATATCAAATCAAACTCCTCCCTGGTGCCTCTCCGCGTCCAATGCCCTTACCCCAGACACGAGTCTGGCCCTGTCTGTCTGACACGGTGCTGGGCCCAGCTGAGCCTGGGCCCTCCTGGCTTCTGGGCCTGCTCTAGAATGATGGCGCAGCACAGGGGTGTGGCAGCAACCTAAAAGCCCTGTTGGGGAGGAGCAGCCGGAGCACCTGCGACTCTGGGTGGGGGTGGCAGTCTGTTATGGCAGGGCAAGCTGCGACGCACGGCATGGGGCATGCACAAGAGGGATACACAGATCCTTTCCTCTGATGGGGTGGCCATGTGCCAATATCCGCAGCCCCAGGGCGGTCTCCTTGGGATAAAGCCACCATAGCTGCTCCTACCCCCTCCACCCTACAACTGGCCCAGGACACATGGCTGAGGGAAGGGGAGTGTGGCTGTAACAGCCCCCGGTGCAGAGCAGCCCCAGGACGGGGGAGGCCCCCAGGGGTGCACTGAGGGTCCCACCAACCTCATGTCTCAGGTATTGAACTTTGTCACCCACAGGCCCCTCTGACCGTTGAGTGCAGCTTGCAGGACATCCTGAGCGTGCTGGCCAGCCTTTCGCAGGCAACCACTGCGGTGTTCCTGGACGGGGAAGGGAACAGCCTGCCCTGGTGAGGGGACTCCTGGCCAGCAAGCTCCTGCAGACCCGGTCCCCTGAACAGCATCCCTGTACCACCTTCTGAGCTAATGGTCTGTCTTCCCTGGCCGTGGGCGACCCCCCGCATCCCCTGCTCTGCTTCGGTCATGCTCAGCCTCTTGGCAAAGCTCTCTGCTCCCGCCCCATGACACACTATGCGTCCTTATGACATTTCTCCTTCTTCCCTGCCCCCGCTGTAGCCACAATTCTCCCCCCACCTGCTTGCTACCCATTTCCTCTTGGATTAATTACCCTCATGAACTGTTTGTATCAGTGTAGCGCCTC